ATGTGCAACAAAACATCAACATTTCTAAACTAAACTTGCTAAACCAAACTTTTCATATAGCAATTTACTTATTTTTATGCAGTATGTTCACTTCAGATTATGCTGTTAGGTTTAACAGTCCTCTGTGATTTAATGAATAATGAAGATAACTTTGCTCCCTTCATTGCAATTCGGTCAGTTTGTTTAAGCTTGTCTACTTTTCACAATTCTCCTGCACATGAAGAACACCAGAGAGAAAAACGTGTAAATACCTGCTCTTGGCACTGATAAGAGCTGTGATTCTGTAAAGCAGCAATGCAGATCTTACACTCGTATCCAGTGGTAGCACTTCTGTGCCATATTAAAGAACTTCAGAACTCCTGAAATTCATATACAAATAGCTCAAATGAAGTCCATTTCAGTCATCTCCAAAGACTATGCACGTGCTTTTCCATAATCCCAAGGCACTTTTCAAAGACACCAAGGCCTCACTTCAAGGTAGAAGTAAGCTAGCAAATATTTCTTTTCTCGGCAATAGAAGCTCAAAAGTCTAAGGTTGTAAGTAAGATTTTGCTCAATGCATGATAGCTGATATATTTACTTCCAATTACTGCAGAGTCTGCAGTAGACTCTTTGCCTTGTGACCTCAATGACTTCGATGTTTTAATGACACGAAGACTGTTTCTTGTTGACACTGAATGGGCCAAAGCAGGCATCTAGATTGCACAGCAGATAGAAAGTACTACCCCAAGTAGGAAGGCACAGCCTGCAAGATTTTTAAGATGTCCTTAACTCTGCTGACGGATCATCAAGAAGGTTGATTGCCAGCTTCTTGGGAGATGGAGAGGCAACAGATGTCAGTTATACCAAATTCAGAGACTGACACAGTGATAGTAAAAGTACAAGGGAATCTCCTTATGTTTGCCTATCCACCTCTGTAATAGCTTATCATGAGAGGGTTACTCCATAAAACAGTAGAGGAATATGTATGGATACATACTAACACATCTGATAAGCTGATGAAACTACTGGCAACTACTGGGTCTGATGAGGTTCAATGCTTTGACTACCTCTTCATCCCACTAATTATGCTTTGTTCAGGAGACCAGTATGAGGCCCTAAAGGTTTTAACAAAGAAAAATCCTAGTACAATCTGAGATGAAACTAAACATGACAAAACAATAATAGAAAACTACAGGGAAGTAGGAAATGTATCACTGGACTTGAACAAAGTAGTTTTCAATTAAAATTAGCTTTGACATATGCCTGAGTAAGTCAGACAATAGAAACACTGAATGTGGGATAACTGTTAAGTGGACAGAATTGTGACCCTCAAATGAAGGAAAACAAACGGGAAAGGAAATAAAATGGAGACTACAAAAATCCAAATTAAATACAAACCTGTCTTATATTGAAAAAAGGAAGATGTGATACATTTTCAACAGAGAAAAACAGTAAGTATCTGCATCATGTAACTTAGGCAACAGCTGTAATGGTAATACATTCTGAGTTTTGCAGGGAATGGAATTATAATTTTTTTCTTTTTATTTGTTTTCAATGTGTTTTGTCAGCTGACTATATTTTATTTGACTTTTTTTTTTTTTTAAGGTTGTAGATTTACTCACTGAAAACTGAATAGCTCTCTAGCACTGTATGTAAACTCTTTTCCTACAAGCTCTGAGCCTAAGAATATTAAGAACGGGAAAATCCAATTCAAGGAGGGTGCTGGGGAACAATGAAAGGGAAGGAGAGAGGGAGGATTAATCATGTAACCGCTTTCCCGTTTCAGACTTTTAAGGTAATATAATTAATGGGAAAAAAAGGCCATTACCTCCATCTTTACGTATAATTCAGAACTAATTAAATCAGTCCAGGAAGGGTCTATAAACAGGGTACATCTCATGTCAGAACGGTCTGGAACAGGGTCTCTTTCAGGTATACATACATGTAGGTCTATCAGTGTGATGATTTGTGTTGCAGCATTTCTTTTGATAGAAAATTAGTCCTGACTAGATCAACCTGCATGATTAATCAATCTCATTCTCTTGACTGTTTTCAATTTTATGTGATTTTCCTGAGGCAAGGATCACTCATTCTGAAAATTTGCTAAGCATCTTGTGGACCACCTCAATCATTTGCTATCTAAAGAAAACATTCATCAGCAGTCCTCAGAACAAGGAAAAAAATGGAGATGTGGTTCTCAGCTCAGTAAGAACTTGGAACAAGACACAACCACTTCTCAGAGATAAAAACTTTGTCACTGCTGGAGGACTGAATCCACAGAATGCTGAATACCTTTGAGAGCTAAAACCTGACTCACATAAGACACAGAGTTCCCAGCACACTGCTCCTGAATGTCAGCAGGAGTGTTACCCACCCACAATGACACAAGAGCTCAAAGGAAGTTGTTAGCCAGGAGCCCATGCATTTTGCAGAGGGAAAATTCAGTGCTCTGTTGTATTCTGAAGGTGTGAGACAGCATCTCCTGTGTCAGCCTGCTCCACCAGGATTTCCTGCAGGAACTCTGCTGCACATGACCCCAGCTGGCATCATGTTTCCTGAGTAAGTGCTGGAGGTCTTCCAGGGACCTCTAATGCAGAGCTTAGCCAGCTCTTACCATAAGCTTTGTCAATATTATGTAACTATTCTTACCTTTGATAATTTCTTACAGCTGTACTTCCATAAGGCTCATGGATCTTTCTTAATTTTAATAAAACGTATACCTGAACAAATTCAGGAAGCCTTAAGTTTGTTCTGGCACTGGAGTTTTAGAAATCAACGAATAAACTGGTTACATTCCTAAAAGCGTGAGTGACATTCACTATAGCAGTTGAGTTTTATTATGCTTGTCTAATACACCAACTGAGAATGATGTTTAAACAAAGCAGTTCTTACCACTTGGTTAAAATGATGTTCATGTGATCCAGCTCTTCTAAAATGAATACATATTTTTTCTGGGGCTCACTGAAGCTGTGGATAATTCTCCTTCCATAGAACACAGAGTGCCAATAACCATGTTTTTGAAAAAGCTGTCAAAGTACAATTTATACGGCTGGACACAGCTGAATTCAGCCAAACACGGACAGTACAAAATCCTCAAAACCATCAAAAAGCAGAGGAACTACACCTCTATATTTACACCTCCCCAGGACTTGCACACTGTTTATGCAATTTTACTCATGCTGACTTGCTAAGGCCTCATGGAAAAAACTTGAAAAAACCAAATGTTTTATTTACAGACATTTTTGTTGACTATCATACTTTTTCTTTTTATCTGTTATTTGCGTCTAGGAAAAGCTGGCTAAAAAATGATACCTGATCTTTCAAAATTCATTCTGCTCTACCTGTGACATCTCAGTTATGGTTTTCATTGTTTCCATGAGGCATTAGCAGGTCTAAGAGAAATGAAATTGTATTTATATGATAGATATTACTGTGTCTTTCTTTTGAGTAACAGGTCTACTGTGAATTTCAAAAACTGTATTATAATGAGTGAAAAACCCACCTTGTGAAGCCAGCCCATTCTAGATATATGCTATTCGGGTGCTGGACTAACATTAGATTGTCAGGAGTCCAAGAAGAGAGAAGAGCAAAGTCACCCACATGTCTTACTTCCTTCCTTTTGTTCTCACCTACATCTGGCAAAAATGTCAGACTACAAAATCCACAGACAAATTTTCTATTTTTTCCCATTACTACTGTAGCAAAAATATCCAGCAAAGCAAGTTCTCTGCCAATCTAACTTTGGCCTAGCCTGGATGGACCATGCCTAATCATGAAAGTTAGTATAACTTCAATGACCTGCTCATTCATTCATTCATTTACCTTCCTCCTCCTGAGACTACCAGTACACTTCCTGGTCTTGATACCTTCTGAGACTTGTAAACTGGTCAGCATGAACAAGTACAGAGTGTATGCTTTCAGGTGTTGACAATTAAACAGTACACAGACCAAAACTTGTGGTGCCTTAAGAAACTGCTGGTTTGGATCTAAACTTCCATTAGCAACTACTTTAATCATCTTGACCCAGAAACTATCCAACAGAAGGACTCCCAGTCATTTGCTTGCAAAGAAGATATTTCTACCAGATTTTTCTGCTCAGGTGGACTACTTTGATGCTATATTCACAGAGGATTTTGGGGGAAAATTAAGTTGAGAAATTCTAGTCCAAAGCTCCTCTAAATTTTCCTCTGAAAACTGAAAAAAATGCCTGTGAAAGTTTTTAAATGAACATTGACAAGCAACTTCTTTAAATACACACACATTCTCAGACTTATTTTCTTGCATCACTCTTATCTTGTATAATACTTAATGGATGACATATTTCATTCCACAAGTTGACAATGTTAAAGATGTGCTATTCCTTCTAGTTTTAGTATCCTGCAAAGCCACTGATAGCTACAGGCACTATGAGCGATATATGACTGAAGAAAAATGAGATTACTGCTGATAAGGAACAAGAGACTTTCATATCTTAAAAGAGTCTGAAATCCAGCAAATATGATCCCCAGCAGCAGATGCCCCTCAGACAGACAATGAAAGAAAAATGGTGGAAAAGTACTCATTGTGGCTTGTTGTTTCCTTCAGCCAGAGTGGCAGCAAAATTAAATAGCTCTAGCATACTGTCTGCATGAAGAAATCCTACCTTTCTGGGAAAAACATAACCCAAAGACGACTAACAGTCTAACAAAATGAGAAGTAATTTTCCACTATGGAAAAAGTGATGTTACTCTGACTCACCTTCTTTGCCAAAATGTACCTTTACTCTGGAAGTGTTGCTCTTTTGAAGGCTATCATGCTGTTATCATCAACGTTTATCATAATAATGATCAATTTAATGGAGGTGTAGTACCAAAGCCAAACCTCAGGCTGGAAATACTGTATTAATGGTTCTTTAACAAAAGGAATGAGACATATGCAAATGTGAAATAGCTCCTTTCTCTGTCTATTAATGTGTCCCTGGAACATGAATGAACATAATTTAAAGATGTCAATATTTCATGCTACAGTGCAACCCTTACCTTGTATCCTGATGATTTGATGTGCACTCCTCGCTTGGTCAGTGTAGATTTCATTCGGATGAAAAAAGAGCGCTCTAGAGTGTTGTCAGTGGTTAGTAAACTGGGGCTTGTAGATTCCACTAGGGAATAGAAAAAATACATATACACACAATTTAGATTTTATACATCCCCTTTAAGCTATTTTTCAGGTGCAACCCTTGAACTCACTAAAAATAAATGACTGATGGATGCTAAGAGTGTTGTAATCAATTTACCTCATTTAGAAAACGTTTACTTAGGAAAAAAAATTTGAAAAATATATGTATACTCAGTAAGTCTCATTTTCAAGTTATTTTTCCCATAGAATTTTTAACAGAGATTTGCCTCATTAACTCTTTCTTGCACAATTTTGTAATGACTGGAGTTATTTTGTTAGGGTATGACACTGTTTTAAAAACTGAGGAGTTCTTCAGTATTTTGTGAAAGGTAAAACCTCACTGAGATAGCAATTCTGTCTGCTGAAACAGCATGCAAATTCTGCAGGTTTTTATTCCCTAGTCCCCACTCCTCACTTGCACTGACACCTAGGATGAGTCACTGCTGGTTTTCAGTGCCTTGGTTTCCCCATTACTGAGGGTTAATCACTGTCAATAAAGCACTGAGCAGCCTGAAGGCAAAAATGCTCAAGTAAATGACACATTATTATTATTGTATCATCATCATTGTTAATTATTGGTGACTAATTAGTCACTAATGAAATAGCTTTGTGGTCCAATTGAAGAGATATTTCCTGCTTGAAACTATAGCACTCACCTGTGCTTCTCACTCCCTCAACTGCAACCACTTAAAATAGTAAATAAATACTCTTAGTATAAAGCATGATAAAATAGTGGGTACAAACCTAGTGAGTACTAAGATATTCTTTATACAATCTTTATTATTGATATTTTCAGCCCTGACAACCAACCTCTCCCCAAAATATTGTTCGTGAGAAAATTCTGGAGCAGCTTACAATAAGCAAGCATTATTGGAGATTAATTAACTTTCAGTTTTAGTAATTAACACCGAATAAAAAAGTTATATTGGAATTATTCTGCTAGTTTTGGAGAACTGACCAAACTAGCAGTAGAAAGTTTTCATGTATTTAAAAAGCATTTGCTATGCAGTCAACAGAAATGCAAAAACTTGTTTGTGAGCTAAGGATTATATTGAATTGTCCTTGAATTACTGTGGTCACGTTGTCTTGTGTTTGTGACATTTCAGCTCTACTGTGATGAAATAACTGACAACAGTGCCCCTTTCTTTAGTCTCTCTTAAAAAATTTTTGTTTTAGAGAGCATGAATTCGATGTCATTTTAAATGTACAGCTCTTTATCACTCGAGGGAAAAGCAGAGCCATGTTATATTTAGTACTTTCATTTCTTCTGATTAAATATGAATTACTATGAAATTTTTCTCATCATCTAACACGCCATAATACGCCAACAGCTTTTTAATACACTATATAAGCACAAACTTCTGCTCTAAGAGTTTAATTTGCCCCTCTAATCCAATCACATCAACCTTATTTCTCTTATCAGAGATTCCCATTTTGAATTAAATGAGCTCATTAGTTTTAATCAAAAGCAGAGAGATCAAAACTTAAACGTAAATGCTTTAGATCAGAACTGTCAGTCAGCCGTGCAGTTCTATTTTACTAAAACACAAGATCAGAGACCCTTAGAACCAATTTTTTCTCGTAAGGGATGCCAAGAGCTTGAAGATGCTATATCCTTTTTTTTTTTTTTGCTTCCAAGGACAGATTATACATTTAAGGTTAGACTTAATTTAGAGTATTTTTTTTCATCCTGATGGAAATGGGAAAGTATGCCATTCTGCTGTTGTCTCTTTCACGTTTATTGGTGCTGGTCCTTGGAGACCTGAACAAATGTGAAGGCATCACAATCCATGCAACAAACATGTCCTCAAAAAATTCAGCTCTATTCAGCAAAATCATCCAAGAAATAAAACTCTGAAAGGAAGGATAATGTGTTTCAGGGTATAGGACAGTGGAACCCTGAAACAGCAACCAAGGTCACCAGGATAGCAGCAGCACTGGTAAGATGAGGATCATAATTAATTATTATTTTTATTGTACAGTACTCTACAGTGCAGTAGTTAAAGAGTACATTAAGAAACCACAGCATGGGTGCTTCCTGCTGTGTGAAGAAATGCTAAAATCAGCTTAACAATTGTAGTTGTTGTAGTCCAGCACATTATGCTCTAGCACAGGCAATAAGTACAATACATCCTCATGTGTTCTAATGGTAATTACCTAAACACACAGAAGTAATGTTAATTAAACACACAATATCTCATGCTCAAAAAATGATCAGGCTGTAATACATATGTACCATTTCTAAACAATTGAAATCAAAATTTCTCTTTCATACACAGTTTTATGAAAGAAAGGAAAACATATGACATATAGTACAGTGTACTTGGTATTGACATGTTCTGGGCTCATGTCACCTTATATCACAAGCTTAACATTATTTTGCTGTTACTATAATATGTACAAACCTATACATCTCTGTAAGTGAATGTTGTAAAATGCATATAATTTATCCAACAGACTGGAACAGTGTCTGTCATATAAATATGTATTCTGAAGTGTTTGATTTTCTTTCACAAAAAGTACCTGAGAGTGTATGTGTGAGATGGGATTAGTTACCTAAAAGTCCAGAACAGCTTATGAACAGCGTTCTGAATTTCTCTCAGGGGAGAACATTATGGCTGATAGTACAAATCTGCATTCAGAGTTGCACCCACCCACAGTAGATACTGTAACAATGATAACAGTGATTATGCATGCAGGATTTTAAAAATAGGATGTGGACAGAACATATCCATCGATGTCAGTGAGATTTGCACAGGAATATATGGAATATGGTCTATTATGAGTTCTCAGGATTTGATTTTAAATGCCTATCACTCGGTTTTTTCAATTTTTTTTCCAGTTATGTCAAAGGAGGCTAGCAATCTGAGGAACATCAGAATGAAACTCTCTAGCAATTAATTTTTGAGTTTGGGTTTTTTTGTTTGTTTGTTTGTTTTGTTTTGTTTTGTTTTTAAATTTGACCTTTAAAAAAGCCTGAAGTAAGCAAGGTCTGCCTGACTTGATACTGTAGTAACTAAAGATGTCTTTTACACTGAAAAATAGTGCTCCTGGGCTGAATTTACTGAGTCTAAACCTACTGTTGAGTTATAAACCTCTGAAACTGTGAGTTTAGAATTCTAATAATATGATAAAAGTCAATGCTCACTGAGTGTGAATGAAAGCACTATACACTGCCAGGCTTAGAAGTACAAAAAGTAAGTCTGGATTGTCTTTGCAAAACAGATAACTGTGTACTCTGTTGGGAAACCACTCGCCTTTGTGTGTCTTTAAACATCTTTGGCAGACACTACTAAAGGAATAAACCTCATCTCTTTCCACTCCCAAAGCTGTTAATGCAAGATGAGATTTCTGGACACAAGGAATGCATTGTCCGTCTCAAAGAGCATGAAGCTGCAACCCACTATACCTGTACAAAAGTGTGATAAATGTCAAAATGTTAACTAAGAACCACAGAGCCAAATGGAAAGATAGTATGAACTAATAGCCAATTCACAAAATTATTTCGTTATCTCCTCCTACGCATTTCTTTGCGAACAAGCCTTGTAGCTCTGATGCTTCCGTGGGCTTTGCCTTGGGAATAATCTTGGGCCTAGACCCCACAAACCAGTTACGCACTGTTTAACTACCCATGCTGGAAGAGTTCTTCTGATGTGAGTCGGATGTGTACTGATAGATAAACATGCACATAACCGTTTGGAGGACTGAGGTCCATGGCTCTGGTCCTGCAGTGATCTGCAGATGTACTGTGCATCTGTGTGCAGTCTGACTACCTTAATGCTATAAAGCAAAACAAAACAATGCAAATAATTGCAATTACACAGCAATAGCACATGTACTATCCCTATGACCAACTCACAAGCACATTCAAATTCAGATAAACAATTTGTCCCCCAGGAAAAAAGAAGTTCCAGATTTGATTTATGTCTTAAATAATGAAATGCTGCCAAAGCAGCCTGAATAAATATTCACCAACTTCTGAGTCTTTTTCCTCACATGCGTTAAAAATAATTGAGAGAAGAAAAATGCATTTTCACATGCCAAACAGATAAAAGATAGGCCTCTCATTCTTAGGAGAACCAGAAGCTTCACAGGGGAAACCAAACACCAACAAGGAATTTGAGGGGGCTGGTGGGAAAAAATCTTATGGTTTAACATACAGGAAATTCTGGGTTTGGTAGCATTTCGGGAAGTTTTCATCTGGTTTTCATGTCTCTTCCTTGAAAACAGGTGTCTATACAGCTTTTAAGAGACATTGTCAAACACCAACTATAAAGGTCTTAAGAGAAACAAAATAAGAGAACGTACAAAACAGTAAGGAAAAGGGAGCTCTCTCCTCGTTATCTTCTACACTTGCAAACCTCTTCCCACATTTTCTTAAAGTCTTATAATCCTTTGCATAGGCAACTGGGAATCATTATGTTCAGATGAATAATTAGGTAATATAAATCTATCATTTTCAGTTGGACTAGATGCATCTTTGTAAATGTTTCTATTTCTTCTGTGCAGTTTATGGTCTGTAACCAGGCACTAAAAGACTTTCTAGGAAAATTTAACCTTGAGTAGCTAACTGTCCTGTCTTTTCTCGTATTATTGCCTCTTAAAGTGTGTTTTTAATCCAAAAAGTGACTCTCAAAAATGCACTGTTGCCAAGGTCATTCTCTCTCAGTAGCTTACAGATCAAATTTGATCATTTTATAAGCTAAAAGATAGATTTTTCTAACTACTAGACCAGCAAATACAATTCAAAGCTTCAAGTTAAGACAACTCATTTCCAGTAAGTGCAAATTGCTATGAAATTATACTTAGCACTTGTGCAAATGCATGGGTTTAAGTGAAGTGGGTTCAGTTTGATTGCAGGCTGAACATGGGCAAGCACTGCAAGCTAAAGCTTGGTCGAGGAAGGTGCTGAAGATTCTTGGATTCATATGAACCACTCCGGCATATTTATGCACACGGGCAGCCTGCCTGGAGATCAACT